CAGCAGTAGCAATCTTCTTCGGCTGCTGGCACTGGGTACTGATATGAACCTTTTCTACACACTTGAAGCAAGTCGGAGCTTCATCTTTGCAGTCAGTAATTCTATGACCTCTCTTTCCACAACGATGACATCTCAACACCTTACAAGCCTCAGCACGGTGACCTGGCTCACCACACTTGTAACACTTGCTTGGAGCAGTAGCCGCTCCCCCACTTGACTTTTTCCCATTTGAAGTCTTCTGCTTCCCTTTATCACCAGAAGTCACATACAGTTTCCCTCTATACTGTCCTTTCTCTTTCTTCTCACTCAATTGCTTGTAGTGAGTAGATCGAGCACGACTATCCTCATCATAAATTCTACTCTTGCCCACCAGTTCCGCAAACCGACAAATCTGCTGGTACCCAATTCCCTGCTTAATCTCTGGTGTCAATCCATTCTCGAACTTGAGACACTTCGACATCTCTGCGTCAACACGATTGTAATGCGGACAAAACTTCACTAAAGCCTCAAACTTTGCTGCATACTCAGCCACAGTCATATTCCACCTCTTTCTTGCCCCGAACATCTTTAGGAATATCATAGCAAGACCCTCTAAGTCAATCACAATGGCCAACGACCCAAAAACTTCAAAAAGTCCTCGGCGGCATCCACGGCTAAACCTGGTCATCTGCATGTTACCCACGTGGAGGCAACATTCAAACAGGCAGGGTGAGTAAAATGATTCATAATAATAAATATAGAAATAAATATATAAAATGGCGTCATTTTCATATTCAACATCATCATAATCATCAAGGAACATCAAAGGTCACAACATTATAAGTTACATCAAAATGTCACATAAATACAAATGCAACAAGACTCATGCATGTGGTACCAATCAACAAAATTCGATGGACACTGGGCTATCAACCCTCCGTAGATCCACAATAGTAGGATCGATTCTACACGAGAATCGGAGCACAACAAAATACCTCACATCAGCACAATGGGACTGAAACCACACAAATCAAGGTCCTGAACCGAAGTCCGGATGCATATGAATGCATGATGAACAGGTCAATATCATACTCATAATAATCTCATTAGGTGCATCATCATTCATCAAAATCATCATAATAATCATGTCATCATATAATCATCAAAACTCATGGAATCAACATCATAACTCATCATCATTACTCATAGGAATCATCATACAATCATGTAATAATCACATAGGAATCATCATACAATCATGTAATAATCACATAGGAATCATAGTCATACCCATGGTAATTCATCAAAGAAATCACAACATCAAAACATCAAGACATCACTGTACAATATCAGAATTCGCGAAACTCTGCTACGTTCGATGTGCGAGTCTGGGGTGAATGTTCGCCGTGTGAAGAATTCTCCGTTGTGCGAACTCGCGATTACAGCAAATCGCCGTTACACACCAGCACCAAAACCAGACCAAAAACCTCTACGATTTCCTTCCCCATTGCCCTAAAAACATCCCTAAATCATTCTTAAGGCATTACGGCGATAAAGACACAAAATCTACGACTTATTAGGCCAATCCCGTATCATATTTACGCTTCAAATTCCCATAGTTTCTTACAACTACACTATATTTATTAGAGTTATCATAAATCACTTACCCTACAGGGTTAAACAACCTCAACAACAGATTTTTTAGCCACGAAGGTCTAATTTCCCTTACTCTCAAATCAGCCTCAAACCTACTAGACCATCAGTTCAAATTCCTCAAACTCATTGAACTCACCATCAGAAGGTAACAACAACTCAATACCCCAAATCCCTAAACCCTTAAATCATCTTTAAACACATTGAATCACATATTGAAAACAATGAAGGCAATATTCCTCATGCCTTAATTGCCGACTCTAAGCCTTTCTCCTTGATTCTTGAAAACCTTGCGAAGCTTTTGCCTCAATCCTCTTCCTTAGAGATCTGACCTCTATTTCTTCCCTTTTCACGATCTAACAAGAATGAATCATAATTCCCTCAAAATTCATTTTTGTTAAACCTAACTTTGGGTCTTAAAATTGGGCTTTCCAACTTCACCCTCACTAACTCCTCCTCAAATGTCCACTTTCCCCGTAATTCACTTATATTTATTTAAATTAATAATAATACCAATATATTCATATTATATACTATCATTTAAATAAATAACTCAAAATTCATAATTTCCAATATTCACACCAACCACCGAAAATCACCAAAAATGCAAATATTCATATTTAAATAAATTAAATAAATATTCCAAGAATTTGGGGTGTTACAGCAGTGGCTAAAACCTTTTTTATTGAGGCATGGAGGTCGACCCAAACAAGCTATGTGTCGATCTATACCGAAACAAAAGTTTCTATAGGTTGACCTGAGCGCGTGTGTGGCGGCCTATGTGACATTTTTCACACTAAAAACTCATTTTTGATGCATGGAGCATGCCTAATATATTTTCAATCATTTTCAAACATATTTATATGCACTATAATGCTAAGATGATCAATTCACATCTAGAATTTGGTTGATATTGTCCAATGTACAAAAATGCTAAAGTTGCTCCTAGTTGTGACATCATTTAAAACATGACTAAATGGAAGGATTCACTCACATATTAACCCTATAAAATATAAATATTCATTTCACAATTCCATTGAGATATTTCGAGTATTTTGAAAAGCTCTCGTCAATGCCAAACTTTTCAGGCAAACTACCAAATTTTTCGAGTATTATGAGCAGTAAGTATCCATTTTACCGAATGTTTTTGCTTATACCATTTTTTTCTTGTTGTAAGACAACCATGCCTTTTTACCATATATTTCTAAAAAAATAGTAAAAATTCATGATTTTCATGCATCATTACTTGACTTTTGAAAAAATCCAATAACAATGGGTACATTTTTTTTGAACTTTTTGAAAAAACCAGCAAAAATGCATACATATTCTCGATTTTTAGAAATAATTTGTAAAATGCATGGTTTTTATTGGTTGTTTTGAAAAAATGATAAATAATCATATGATTTACGTGATGTTTAAAAAAAATACAGTGATTTTAAAAAAACCAGTAGTGAGGAATTTGTATCGTTTCGGGAAAAGCATGAATTTTTTAACATATGGTAGTTTAAATGGTTCTTGTGGACATTTGGTTCTTATTTTATGACATTTCTTGATTTGTATATGGTTCTTGTGCAATGTTGGATATACGAGCACTTCTCTTCCATTTATGAGTGACACGTTATTTCTACCACTGCTGGTTCCACATGGGCCAAGAGATGGAAGTTCAGGCGCGCGCGCGCACACACACACACACACACGCACACACAGAAACACACGCACACACCATAAAGTGCATCAGAAGTTCAATGACACTTCATTTTTTTTTGGTTATATACGATGGGAGACATTAGTGGCCAGACACTTACCTGAGAGGTTTCTGTGTCAGTTTGGATATGTCCAGGACAACCCACGACCAGTCATTGCTATTCCATCTAAAGGCATTGATAGGTGGTTTGTTTGTAATGTTTTAAATACCTCGTGCCTTTAGAGATCATGCAACAGGGGTTTAGTTTCCTATGTAGTGTGTGGATGGGTAACTTCTCATGACAGGGGACCTTCTAATGACGTGCTGCCGCCTCCACCACCACATGGTGCGGATGAAGCTCAATGTATGCAAATGATAACAATCATTATTGATAACCTCTTAAATTTGGTAAACCCAGATGGTGAGGTTTATACTTTGACATCGCAAGTAGCACACTTAGCTGGGGGGGGGGGGTAACCTATTTAGACCTTATCATCATTTTTGTATTATTTATAAATTATGTGTATTATTACTCAGACATTTGCGCAACATATTTTATTATATAACATTTGCACTTTCATTATTGCATGATGAACATAACTTGACATTTGACAAACAATTACATTACTTAGATAGACGATTACATAACTTAACAAAACAATAATAAATAAGAAAACTTAAACACTACTAGATAATTCTGAACGTTTCAACATCTTGATTATGTCATTATCAGATCTAGAAATTATCGCATCAAACTCGTTCGTCCCTTAGTTAGCCTCCAATGATATGTTCTCTACATAATCTTCAAATCTTCATCACTCTTCAACTTAGTACGATCGTATTTCACCATTCTATCATTATCCATCCATGGTGCAAGAAACTTAATCTTACTCACCTTTCTGTTCTCGTTCATGAGCAACATTTAATTCAATTTAGATCTCAGAAGAGCGAAACATGTTGTGTTCTCCGGGAGCCCAAACTCAACAGGAGGTTTCACCCTGTTGAATTACACTTCTATCTTAAACAAATACTGAGACATTGTAAGATATTTTTCTTAACAACACATGTTCCTTATTTATACAAGTTTGGATTCATTCTGGTCCATACAAAACAGTCGATGTAATCACAATCGTGCAAAACTGTCGGTAAAATCTCAACCCTTAAATTAACACTACCGATTTTTTCGTAGCTTAAAAATTATGGTATCTGCAAGAGGATTTTGAAAAAACTGGTACTTTTTTAAACTACCGATATTTTCTATGTAAAAATCCGATAACAAAATGTACTTTTTAAATAATCGGTAAATTTCTTCACACATCCTTGTTTTTTAAATAAACAGTATACCGTATTTTTTTAAGTACACTACCCGATTTTTGGATTTGTACTGAATATTTTACTTCTTCTACCGAATTTTTTGTCCGGACTTTTTAATAACATTTTAAAAAAGATAATATGAAAATTATGAAAAAGTATGGGGTGACAGATCAAAGTGGGGTTGGCAGGATAAATTTCTAGTTTGATAAGAAACAATGGACTTCTTGCAGGCCCATTACGAGATCAACATTCAGCACAACACAAACCATATATATTGCCTCTTGATTTTCATTTCAGAATCACCGAGAGTTTCAAGCATTAAGCAATACAAACAAACTTGAGTAGAAAGTAGAAAGAAAAGAATCGCACAATGGCTACTCCTTCAAAAAGATGGCTTCCTCTTGAAGCTAACCCTGATGTCATGAACCAGGTATCATCATCTATCTATCTATCTTTCCCTTTTCATCCTTCATTTCAATTGTTACAAATCTTTGAATTGAAATAGTAAATTGTAATTGAAGTTAGTTGGTAGCGTCCATGATTAACCCCTATAGTTCTTTTCGGAGAATTGCAGTTCCTTTCTGGTCTTGGTCTTCCGGAGGATCAAGCTGGGTGCTACGATGTTTATGGATTGGATGAAGAGCTTTTGGAAATGGTTCCACAGCCTGTTCTTGCTGTGCTTTTTCTTTACCCTCTCACCGCCAAGGTTAATTTCTATGCATAGATAGTGTTTGATTGAATGCATCTTTAAATAATTTCACTGTTTGTATGTTTTCCTTTTTCTGACTTTATGAGAGTTTTTATCTCTTATCAGTCTGAAGAGGAGAGGTTGCAACAGAATAAAGAAAAAACGGTAACTGCAGATATCTAGTTTGTTTGATTGTTTTATTGAACAATGTATATGAAATTTGAATTTTGGGTAGCATATGAGTATGTTATTGATTATTTAGATGTGTTGTTCTGGTGTAGGAATATAACAAGAAAGTGTATTTTATGAATCAAACTGTGGGTAATGCTTGTGGGACAATAGGGCTTCTTCATGCTCTTGGTAACATAACTTCTGAAATCAAGTTTGGTAAGTTTTTCAACAATTTAATTGTCTTTAGTTTTTTTGGGTGCATTGACGATTAAATATCATTCAGTCTGTGTTGCTTGTGTTGTTATTAGTTGAGGAGTCGTTCTTTGATAAGTTCTTCAAATCTACTGCAAACTTGGACCCAATGCAGGTTACTTTTTCTTACCCCAATCTCCTCTCTTTCTTTCTCATATTTAACTAATGGAAGAAATTGAGATTTTTTTGTTGGCTCATTTTGTGTTTTCTATCTTTTGTATCTTGCAGCGTGCTTTGTTTCTTGAGAATGACTCAGAGATGGAGGTGGCTCATTCTGTAGCAGCCACTGCTGGTGATACAGAGGTATTTTATCGATTAAATTTAAATGTTAAGGCGACGGTAAATTGGATTGGAGGGTTCCAATATGATGTAGTAGTGATATAGATATAACTAATGATCAAAAGTTCATTTCCACCATGTTATCTTGAAAATATGATCTTATGCATTTGAAATATCTTGTACTTAGTCTTGTTTGTTCTTTTTGTTATTCCTTGGATACGAATAACTGATACATATGCAGAAACCTTTATACACTGTAGTTTACATATTATAGGTCCTTCTATGATGAGTAATTATTTGAGTGTAGATTTAGCCCTTTATAAATTTGAACTTATGCTTAAATCCTGTTATATAACTGTGTTTGTGCAAATTTTTCGGTTTAAAAAGTTATATTTCCAGGGATCTGTTCACCACACTATTAGTCTCAATCTTCTCTCTGTTGTCTCTTGCATCTGCTCCACCAGTTTGACACTGCTGTCATCACCTTGGTGTGGCCGTCTTTGCAATCTCTAGCGCTCACAAAACTTCCTTCCACTATTCGACTGCAACCGTGACCAAAGAAACTCCCAAAGCCACCCTCCAGTCTAGTTTAGTGCAGTGCATGCCTTATGACTCCCATTGATCTCCCAATTTTCTCCCGACCAGTCCTCTTTTCCCAAGTCCTCTTTTCTAATGCACAAGACTTAGCACCTTCATTAGAACTAACTGGCTAAGGTTCGTAATGGAAAAAGAGTCTTTGAGTAATACTATTCTTAATATCTAGCCAAAAAAGAAGGAAGAGAATGGAAGGAGAAGAGAAGCACACTTCTGGTAAAGTGCCCAACATAAATCAAAGAGTCATGGCTAGAGCTGGTACACCAAAATTAGTGTATTAGAGGAAAGGGAAACACAAACTAGCTCAATGATAAATTTTGATGTCTCAACCCACTATGAGTAATGAAGATATTAAACATTATGATGTTTCTCGAATTTTTCTGTGACTGGTGCTTTAAACATATTCCTTTGCATAATGTAGTTGAGACCCAAATGATTGCAATGAAAGAGGAAAAAATTTTCATCAAAAAAAAAGAAAGAAAAAGTTTTGTATTACCCAATTTCTTAATTTCTTTTTACCAAAAAGTTGGATGGTGAACTAGATTATGTGCAATGCTAATGGGTGATTAGTTCTCAAATAGTCTCAGATCATGCTAGATGCTTGAGAATAAAGGATCTGTACCTATGAAACAATTTGGGAACCAATCACCCATTAGCATTGCACACAATCTGGTTCAACATGATGGAACAAAACACATTGAGTGTTGGTTAGTTAATTTTGGATGAGAGAGACCATGCATTCCAATACCTAGTGATTTCTATATTCCACTGTGAGATTATGTTTTCTGGCCTTTAATACTCATAAATTAGTTTTTATCCTGCAAGGCAAAAAATTAATAATTTTTTTGTTTATTTCCATTTTATGTTCTTGTGTGTATTAACAACTTTTGCTTGAAATATTTGTAATGCAGGCATCAGATAACGTCGATACTCATTTCATCTGCTTTGCTTGTGTGGATGGTAATTCATTTTTTGTACTTCATTAGCATTTTCTTCACTATGCAACAGCTAGGACAACAACATAGAACCAAAGATATCTAAATCATAGGGAGCCAGCTGAAGCCTACATCAAAACAAATGATCCAAAACCAATTTTGAACCCTTCTCCTCCCTTCTGCAGTATGAAGCCTATCTATATCTGATTAATTTCTTTGAAATCTTGTTGTATGCAGGTGAACTTTATGAGCTTGATGGAAGAAAGTCAGCACCAATATCACACGGCCCGTCCTCACCAAGTACTCTGTTGAAGGTAAATATCTTACAATGTTAAGGCTTTAATTGTATTGTTCCTGAAAAGACATGTATTTAGCAGAAGGATATAATTTGGTTTAATCTGCAATTGCTTATAGAGAAAAGATACCATGATAATATTGTTGTCAAGTGGTTCTGCTTTCGGGTTTTGCCTTAAAATGATGCAAAAAAACAGTATTCAATGGCCGCAATTCTGTAGTGTTTTTAATTAACATATATATTTACTGCAGGATGCAGCTAAAGCCATCCAGAGCATAATTCAGAAGAATCCAGATTCTATCAATTTCAATGTCATTGCAATATCAAAGAAAGAGTGATGAATATTAAGGCAATCTCACTTTGAGCTTTTTAGGGTTAATTTTGATTTAAGTAACTTCTTGAAGGTATCTGTAGTATAATCTCCAGGCACTACTCATGCAGCTCTATATTCACTTTATCTGCGTGCATGGTTAGGTTTTTAGTTACATTCAGAGATCTTGTAAACTTTTGAGCCTCTTCGATTCAAAAAGTCTTTTAACAACTTGCTGGCTTTTGATTTGTCGTAGTTTTGTCATCCTCTTCCATCCAAGGGGGAAAACAAAAAGACTTGTTTGATCATTTGTACATGTGAGAAATAAAATGATGTTTGAGTAACATAGAAGTTAGTGATGCTGACTCTAGAAATGAACTGAAGGTGATTAATCCTAGAGATATGAAGCCCGCCCCTCTAGGATAGAAATGATGCAAATTGGGTTATGGGTTCACAATTCTGCACTTGTTTCTCTTAGAAGACTGAGTGTTTTTTTTCTCTTATGTTTTGGAGTGATAAAACGGATCCGGTCCGTTGGACATGTCCGTTTTGCCCGTACTTTAGTGCGGGGAGGGCCAAGGTTTAGGCCCTCACTCTCTAATGTGGCACGAGCATTTACATAAACCTTTGTGTTTTTAGGCTTAAAAAATAGTGTTTGTAGGCTTTTTCTACCTTGCCGTCACATTTTTTGTATGGGGTGGGTCTAGGTTTTAGGCTTGAATTCTCAATTATATTCGTTCTATTTTTTTTTGCAGGACGGGGCTAAACGAGGTGGTTTGCCATATATATTCAACTTAGTTAGATTAATGATCATAGATTAATGATCATATATATTAATGCAAACAAGTTATCGTAGTATTAATTACTAAAATCTTTCTCAAGTTTTAACGTGGCTGAGTTCATAATAAATTATTGTTTTTATCTTATTTTATTTTATTCCAAAAACTTTTAGGTTCAAGAGAACAATAACAACTAAGTCTTATATTTGTGCCATAACATTTCATGGCCTGATCCAATGGCATATATTCTATTCCAAAAGCTTTTAGGTTCAAGAGAACAATAACAATTAAGTCTTATATTTGTACCATAACATTTCATGGCCTGATCCAATGGCATATATTTGAAATAAATCTTAAGTATGTCGGTTTAAATCCATTGTATAACATTTGAATTATGCACATGTTAGCTTTATTATACATAGTCGGTCTTAAGTTTAGATAAAAGAGAGAGTTATGTTAAGCCGTCGACAACTAACGTAAAATTTTATCGAATTTCTATGACAATGTTTAAGAGACTAATCAATTATAATTTTTTACGCGCTCTTTTTTCTTTTTCTTTTTCCTTTTATTGCATTATTTTCCTTTTTCTTTTATGCTCTGTATGTAGTACTGTTTTCATTTTTTTTTAGTCAATTTGATCTTTTCATTTTTATTTCATTTTTCACTTTTCACTTTTCTACACTTTGACTTATTTAACATTTCAAAGAGAAGCTACTCTGTAAAATTTGTTAGACTTAGAACATCTTAACACTGTGTATATTTTAGAAGTTCTAAAATCTAGGAGTCTTTCTAACTTGTATTCTGTCTACACCTCTGATTGTATATCAACTATAGTTTTACCCATATCTTTTAACAATTTGGTTAGAGTCAGATGTCTCTTCCTTTAGTGCTTGAGCATTTGAAGTCTATTGCATGTGTGCTTGAGCATAAAAGTCTCTTACTTGATGGTTTGAGCAAATGAGGTCTCTTGCTTGTGTGCTTGAGCAAATGAGTCTCTTGTGGATTTGAGCAGAGAAAGTCTTTTGTTTGTGTGCTTGAGCATTTAGAAGTCTCTTGTGTGTTTGAGCATTTGTAATCTGTTTAGTTATAGTAAAAATCCCTTGGAAGTGCAAGAGGACTGAACTACTCTCAGGTTGTGAGAGGAACCAAGATAACTGCTTGTGTCTCTTGCTTTACTTACTTCTGAACAATATTCTGCTGCTATATTTGCTTACCTCTGAGCCAGATTCTGTTGTAGAATCTTATAAAGACTTTCAAGAGTTCAGACTCTAAGTGACTCTGATTCAGACTCTGAACTGAGGGTCCAGACTCTGATTAAGATCAATCAAAAGTAAAAGTTGAAAAAGTTTGAGAAAAAATTTCTTGTGTTTTTCTCACCTTAAGTGTTCAACTATTGTATCCTTCATCAGAGCCACATGCACTAAAAACCGCTATCTGGGTTGCAATCTTAGTTGGAACCCATTCCTAGTCTTCTTCTACGCAAAGGATTCTCGTGTTTTGTTGTTACAAGAGGTTGAAAATGTAAAATAAAAGATCATTAGCATTTGTTTCACCTAACATAACTTGAAGATGTTGGAGAAGTTGAAATGGCAGGGAGCCAAAACATGATGTTGCAGACAAGAAATATTAGGTTGTGGTTGTGGTAGAGAGAGCGAATCACGAGGTGGACAAAATCTGGATCAGTGGCAGATTAACTAGATGAGTTTCATGAACTACCGTAGTAGAATCATAGATGAAGCCTAAGTATTTTCATTGATATCATAGAGAATTGGTGGAACATTGCCTTGAAGAATTTGAATAATTGATTGGATATCATATGTTGCACTTCGATTGTGTACTATTTTTAAACCAACCATCAGAAACGTAGCAGGGGATCAATTGAGAAAAAATAATGGTTGCTCGGAGGTGTAACAAAAAACTATTGTGGTGGTGCAATGGAAAAACTTAAAAGAACTGAAAGATAATTTGTGAGAATTAGAAGACGTTCCCATAGACGACATCACTATTTCATAATAGAACAAAAATAGATGCTAGGTTAAAGACAATCATCACAATGAAGCTTCTAGTGTGTGGCTAAGGTTCTCTAGTGATCAAATAAGATATCTACAAAAGATTAACACTCTGATGATCAAGTTAATATATAAATGAGGTGAAATATTGGAAGTATGGGTGAAAGTGTATCTCAGTGTGACTAAAAATCACATATATTAAAAAAAATTAAGCTTAATGCATCCTTTTTGGTCCCTTAACTTAATTTAATGTTTTACTTTAATCCCTTAACACGTTACATAATGGTTCCTTAAAAATTGTTCTGTTACACAAAATAGTTATTGCCATTAAATGTTAACTTAATGTTGACGGGTCTTTAATATGTGACATGAATTTTTTAGTTTTATTACTTAACTTATTTAACTTTATTACTCAAATTATTTTTAGTTTGGACTCAATTAGATATTTAAAAACACTTGCAGATAGAAACTCTAGGTCACACTTGCACGATTACAGATAGAAATAAAGACGACGATGACGAAGAGGATTAACGAATCTCAGAAACGACGAAGGTAAGATCGAGATGCCTCTCTTATGCATATTTCATCCTTTAGCATGACTCATATTATCAATTATGTCCAATCTTAATTGTTGAATCAAATTTCTATACTTTATCATTATACTGAGAGGGCTTAAATTGAACTTTGCTAAATTCACTTGATTTGTATGATTTGTCTATATACTAATTTATCATTTGTTAACTACAAGTTTAATGTTTGGAAATATTTTGTTAAAATTGATAAAAATGAAATGTTCATTCAATTCAAAGCTTTCATCGTGAACAGTTTATTCAATGGAATGTTCAATCTTCAAAGTCATTCTTCATACATATAAGGGACAAGTCTCTTAATTTCTAGCTTGTATAGTGTGAATCACAATATTATACAAATTTGTGCTAATTGATTGTTGATTTTTCAGATTTTTAAATTTTTTTTGTCATGTTTTTTTGAATAAAGCCATATATAAAAAGAGAAGAGGTGTTACACCAAAGGAATTACAAAAATATGCAATTAAATGCCTCATCAAGAGTGAGAAAACATAAAGAAAGATATCCCTAATCTATTATTTATAAAATTTCCTCTAATCCCAATAGGGATAGAAGAAAAAGAAGTCAAGGATGCACTGAGACTTAAATTAGCAAAATAATTAGGATAAGAAGTTCCTTCAATAAATATGTGCGTAATAACGAGATTGTTGAAAAAAGAAGGACTAGTACTCTCCAACCATTTATTCCGGAGGCCACTAGGAATCAATCTATGGCTGGAGCAAACTTTGACAACTAATGCGCAATTTGTTTCAATCCAAAACTTTCGCCAATCACGAAACTTGAAAATATCCACTGCTCTCAAAACAACCAAAAATTCAACAGACAACAACGGATCAGTGTGAAGCTTCTCAGCAAAGTCAAGTAAAAAATCCTCATTGTTATTCCTAAAAATAACTCCACACCCACTGACGTTAGAACTCAAACAGTATGCATCGTCGAAATTACCTTTAACCCACCTTGGAATATGAGGCTTCCATAAAACATCAGTAATATTTGGAGCACGAGGAGGACAGATAATGACTCCAAAGGTTTTCATCAGAGAAAATTTTGAAATCGAAATTGCCAAATAGTTTGAAGCAATATATTCTGACAGCAGAGTATGGTTTTGGATGATACCGATAGATTTCTTTAAGTTTGGCTGCAAGTCTTCATGCTTTAGGTTATTCCTGACAATTCAAATTTGATTTATCGTAAAAATGCACGCCATCTCCACCATAATATCAGATTGATTGGAGTCAAGTCTATTACAAAGATCCAGACAGTCTGCCAAACACAAAGAGTAGCATGAATGGCTGTTTTTCTTTTTTTAATTAAATGGTTAAAGTGAAACATTAAAGAACATTTTGACTAATTATACTAAAAAAATAAAACTATTATAACTATCTTTTTGTCTAATATAGAGCGCATAAATTCATTGAGTGCATATTAACAATATATGAGCCAATTTTAATGGATAACCCATTTAAAAGTAGATTTATGTAAAAGTTACTTACTAAAATAATAATAATAAAAAAAAAAACAATATGATTACGAGTTAAAATTAATTCTAAATCACTCATTTAATAAATGATGAATAACAAGCTCCAAAGTTTTTAGGATAAAGGCCATATCATATAAACGTCCTTTTAACATCACCCTATCTGTACATTCTAG